GGTCCAGACTGGATCAGAGGGCACCTGCCCCGAGATGGTCCACTGACAGTGGGAGAGAAGGGTCAGCGAGATGCAGGGAGAGGGGCTGATAATTCGGGTAGAGGCAGTGGGGAGAGAGGCTGAGGGCTGAAAATGAATTGCAGGCTGGCCTGGGAGGAGGGGCCAGCCAGCTTGGGACCAAGAATCATGCCACAAGCCCCTGCCAGAGGATTTCCAAGGCTGGGAGCCTGGGTCCTGCAGAGTTTTACTCTGGCCTCCCCACCTGTCTCGGCCTCAACTGTGCCACCACCGCCTGCCTGGACAGCCTCATATTCATCTCCAAACTTGAACCAGCCTCTCCAACCCAAAGCCTGGAACTGACGGCCTGACCAGGAACCAGATCCTCTCTGGTGGGGAGAGGAAAAGGGGTGACACTCCCCCACCGGGACAATTCCCCAGGACCTATGAGTGAGCAGCCCAGAGACCCTCTCCTGGCTCTGCCATGGGTCATGGTCTGTGCAGGTGTGCGGCCAGAAAGGCAGGGCCCCAAGGGAGGCCCTTCCTCAGGGCCCCACAGAGGTTTCCAGAGGAGAACAGGAAGTGAGCCGGACCCGGGCTTCTCCCAGCAAGAGGACAGACCGACCGTGTGGCTCCCTTGGGCAGTGGGAGAGTGGCCACTGTCCCCACAGCCCATCTCCCTCCTCCCACGGTTCGGTGTCTAAGGCCTGACAAACACCCCTGATGCCCACCCCTGCCCCCAGCCCTCTGGGATCAGAAGGCTCAACCTGCTTGCCCCCTGCTCAGCCATCACCTCCATCCCACTGTAGGCCAAGCTCCAAGGGTCACAGGGACTCTGCTCCAAATCTCAGGGTTCCCGAAGGGACCGGCCCTGGACAAAGCTCTAGCTGAGCCATCCTCACCTCTTCCGTCCTGCCTCCACCTCTTCACGTGGCGAGCACCCCCTGGCCCCCCATCATGCTCTCTCAGGCTGCTGTGGGATCCTGGTACTTGCCTCTCTAAGCTTCAGCTTCCTCGTCTGTACAACAGTCCCCCAAATAACCCCACTTTCTGGGTTGCTTGTGAGGACCAAAAGGGATGATGCGCAGAACCCTAAGAATTTTTATTTTAATTGGGTGGCTTGCCGCCCCTCTAGGTGCCTTCCCTTCGCCCTTTCTCTCTGCACTTCTGACTCCTCTGCCTCCAAGTCTGCCGGAACCCCCACCCCCTCCCCACTTGGCTGCTGCCTTCCCAGCAGGTCTGGAAGCCCAATTGCTGGGCCTCTTCCATCACCTCAATGGGACTCAGCATCCTCACCAGACTAGGGAGTCAGGACCTGGGTGGTGGGGCTGGGCGGGGAGCAGCGGTCTAGGATCTGCGTGTTTACCAGCTTGCAGTGGACTCTGAGGCCCACGGACTCACCTGTTGGAACAGGAACATCTCACGCCTCGTTGAGTCCTGGGGCCTCTGCCACCTCCGCCCTGACCTGGTTGCTGCCCACCCCACCCCCCACGCACCCCCAACCTCCACTGGGAAAAACACTTTCCCAGAGTGTCAATTTCACCCCCCACCCACCCCACCCACTTCTAGGGTTGGGAAGGCAGGAGTGGGTAGGGCAGGGCTGGGCAGGGCTGGGCAGGGGAGACCAGCTGGTCTGTTTGTTTTTGGGGTTCTCCTCTTTGGCTGGCTTTCTAAACAAAAGCCTGGGGACCGTGGGGACAGCCAGATGAGACCCTCAGGGGGTCTGGAGCTTATAACAGATGATGGGAGGCATTTACACTTCTCCCAGACCAGGCCAACTTGGAGAATCTTTGAAGTCTTGCCCTGCAGGAACTACTCCCATTTTACAGAGGAGGAGACTGAGGCTCAGAGCACCTCCAGGACATGCCCCAGAGCACAGAGCTGAGGAAGCCCCCATGGGCGGCTCAGCAGGGGGCGAGTCCGCTGCACTGGGCGCTTGGCCACTCTTTGCTCCTCTGGTCTCCCTCCCTCTCCTCACTGCACTCCCCCCCAGCCTGGGCCCCTTCCCCTGCCTGCTCAGGCCATGCCCCTCTCCCTTCTCTTTCTTCCCCAGGTGGCCCCATCTGCAGCCCTGTCCCCCTCATCATCCTGTGAGCACAAACCTCTCGTGGCTTCAACTGCTAATGTCCAAACCATTGACTTGAGGTCAGTGGTAACATTTAAGGAACCTGCAAGGGTCAGGCCCTGTTTCCGACATGTCACCCAAGATCAGTTCTTCTAATCTTCAGAACAGCTCTGTGAGGTAGGTGCCATTCCTTTCCCGTCTTACAGGTGAGGAACGTGAGGCCCAGAGAGGTGACAAGGCCCACTGGCCTGTAGGTGACAGAGCAGCCGCATGCTTCACGTCTCCATGTGCCCCTCTTGCTGGTCAGCCCAGACCTCTGACTGGGCTTCAGGCTGGGTATCACCTCCCCATTTCCCAGGAGTCCCCTGCAAGAGGGTCACCATCCACCATTCCTGCCTGCTCCCCACACCCACAAAAGCTCCTATCTCTATGTTAAGCCCCTCACCCCACCATCCACCCCTAGATCGGGAGCATCTTGTGTCCCATTCAATCACCCCCAGCAGCAAGGCCTGGGCACACAGTAGGGCCTGAGGCCCTGTTCTGAAAGGAACAAAGCGCCTCCTGCCCAGGATCTGACCTCCGCTTTCCCCACAGTGCCCTCTGCTGGTCAGACCAAACACGGCCCTGGGGCCTCCAGACCATCAGCGGGGCCTGATCCCCATCACGCTAATAACCCCCTGGGGGTATAGAGCTCCTTTCTTCCCTCAACTCAAAGAACTTTCCCAAGAACTGGCCCAAGGAGTGTGGGAGAGCTCGCATTTCTCTCCCCAGTTTAGAGAGACCAACCAAGGCCTGGAGAGGGAAGGGGCGAGCCCCAGTGTGCTGCTGGCAGAGCCAGAAAAGAGCTTATAGGCCTGCTGCTCCGGTCCTCAGTTACGGATGCACAAACTGAGGCCCAGAGGGAAACAGATGTGCCCCAGTGAGTCCCAGGCTAGAAGCCCAGTGTCCTAAATACTGTCCCGGTCTTTCCCACGACATCAAGATCCCTGCCTGCAGCTCTGCAAGGCTTGGCCAAGTCGTTAAATATAAGGAGCCTCTGTTGTCGCATTTGTAAAAAGGAACAGTACTTCCTGGCTGCCTGCCTCCCAGGGGACCAGGACGCGGATGTGGGAGTGCTCAGGACCCGCTGTAAAGACGGTGAGGCCCAGGCATGGAAGAATGAGGCCAGAGGCCCAGGCTGCAGATTTCAACAGGACCCACCCCCTGCTCACACAATAAACACAATGCAGGAGGCCACTCCTGTCCAATGCCTGACCTTCCAACAACCGGGCATGCTGTATATGCTGCCTGCGTCCTGCCCTTGCTGATCTGGTCATGGTATCATGGCTGGGAGATGAGAGGAAATGGTGGCCAGTCTGATCCTGTCTCAATTCCTGCCCTGTTACACCCCTCCTGGCACTTATCATAAACTGTCATTTTATTTATTTGTTCCTGTGACTTGTTAATATCTGTCTTCTCTGACAGACTCCAAGCCAGGTATTGGCAAACTTTTTCTACAAAGAGCCAGATAGCAAATATTTCCAGCTTTGAGAGCCATACCATTTCTTTTGCAACTACACAACCCTGTCTAAGGTGAAGCAGCAACAGACAATAGGTAAATAATGGATATGTTTCAATAAAACTTTATTTACAAAAGCAGGCTAAGGGCCAGATTGGGCCCATGGGGCATAGTTTACTGACACCTAACTCTAAGCTCCAAGACAGCTGGGACTTATCAGATTACTGTCAACTGTATCCCATTGTTTGGGCAGATAGCACACTGCAGGTGCTGATTTGATCAATATTTAATGAATGAGAGAGTGGAAACAGGAATGGCCTCTGTGGATGAGACTTGAGGGGCATGTGTGATGTGGCCTGATCAAGAGGGGTGCACAGCTTGTGCAAACATCCAGAGGCAGGAATGGAGGAGATGCTGTGGGTCCCCAGGAGTTACCAGGCTCAGAATCACCCAGAAGTCAAGATAGAGGGACTGCCTGGAATCTAAGGGCTGCCCCAACACAGCATGGCTCAGACCCACCTCCTCAGGTTACTGGAAGGACCAAACAGGCCAGGACCGGTGTGGTCTTGGCACAGCAGCGAGCACATGGGAAGCTCTCAACTACAATGATGAGTATTGTTGCTGCTATTCACCCGAACACCTGAAACTATCCCCAAGCCCCAAGCAGGGCTCTCCCTATTGGTGACTATGGTGACTACGAGAAAACCTGTCCCTCCAGGAGCTGGAGGATGTCTGTCCTATTGCTGGGGACACCCTAACACCAATTCATTCCCCAGTCTGGAGGCTCCCCCAGGGCAGAGGCTGGTCTCTCCCCAGCCTCCCCAGTGTCCATCACAGTGGCTGTGTTCCCTCCACCAGACTGGGGACTTGCCCTTCTATCTCCCTGTGCCCTGTCTAGCTCAGCTAGCTGCCTGTCACTCTACTCCAGAAGCACCCAGTCTTGAGCCTGCAGCTGAGAGTGGGCACATTCTGAGATCAGCCTGTGACCTTTCTCAAGCTGCACAGAAAGGTCCCCATCCCTGGACTCCTGGACCCCTAGGCCTCCAAAGGTAGCACATAGGACCTGAACCCTCTTGATGGAGCAGGAAGTCCAGCTGACTGCGGGGTTCCAGCACTGGCTCTGCTCCCAGCTGGCATGGTGCCTTTCTTGGGTCTCAGTCTCCACATCTGTATAGTGGGGGTTAGGACCAGGTAATGTCTGAGCTCAGGAGTGTTTCTAGCCCACCTGGAGACTTTGTGCACATCTGGGTGGATACAGCCTGGTAGTGCAGGCTTAACAAGGAGCTGACACCTTTGCTAAGGCTGCGGCTGAATTGCCAGCATGGTACTTTCTGGGTCAATTGGCCAAGGGAGGAAGGAAAATGATACTGAAGAATGATGCTGTCTCCTGCTGCCCTCTGGTGGCCATATGCTGCATGCCCGCCACAGCTCAGGTAGAGCATCTCAGGGGAGCCTTACTCCATGTGGGCCTTGGTCCTAGGGCCTCCTCCCTTCCTCCCTACCTGCAGAGATCCTGAGATCCAGGAGTTGGAGTACCAGCCTCTGAATCCGAGAAAGGGACCCTGTCATGAACAGCCACTCTGGGCCAGGCCTGGGCCAAGCATGGTAGAGATGAATTCAGTGCTCCTGTTTCCTCAAGCTTCCCTAGGGCAGGAGATGGTCTTGCCCCACTGTCCCCAGTGTCCAGCAGAGTGTCTGTTGTCTCCTCCCCCAGGCTTGGAGCTCCCTGAGGACTCCTTCCCCCCAATCAGACTGTGAGCTTACTTCTTCTCTCTCTCCCCACTCCAGCTAAAAGCACTCAGTCCTGAGCCCAGAGCTGAGAGTGGGCACATTCTGAGGGGGCCAGTGGCCTTCTTTCTTGGGCTTCTCAAGAAGGCCCCAAGGTACTCACAATCCCCAGGCAGGGCTGCGCCTCCAGAGAAACAGAGAACTGTACTGGGGCCACATTGTGGCCTCCACCCGACCTGAGAATGACCGGAAGGAAGTTCCGTTTGCAGATGAGGAAAGAGAGGATGGGGCTCTTCCCATTGCTCTTTGGATAAAGGCCAGATCGCAGGCTGCAGCCCTGCAGGAGCTGGCTCCTGCCACCTCTCCCCCTCCTTGCTGTCCTTCAGCCAAGGTGGCCCTCTCTTCCTCCTGGAATTTGGTCCCTTCCTTTCACCTCCGAACCATTGCCTGTGCCCTTTGGATTAATGCCTACCTGCCCCACCAGAATGGTTCTCCCTCGCCCAGTGAAGAGAAACATCATCAGTCTCATTCATGCTGTGATCTCAACACCACAACAGTGCTGAGCACAGAGTAGGTACTCAGTAAGCGTTTGCTGGATGACTGAAAGGTTGAATCAGTCAGTCCTGAGCTATAGAACTTTCTAGATGTGTGACCTTGGACAAGTCTCTCTTTCAGTCAACAAATGCTTGTTGAGCACCTACTACATATTGTTCTGGGTATAGGAATCAAACCTACATCTGCCTGGTTTCCCATTCTGCTCTCTTTCTGCTTATTCAACTCTGCCTTTCCCAAGAAAACCAATATTGAAGAGATGTTTGAGGCCTGCAGATAGCCAACACCAGTCAGGAGTCTTGTCCTCTCCCCCAAGACCCCGGATGTCATTATGCCAAGCTCCTGATGGCCCCCAGCATCCTGCCTCCATATCTTTGTGCACACAGAGCCCTCCTCCATCTCTAAATGCCAACATCCCACTTAGCCTTCAACATCCCATTGCAGGGTCACCGTGGCCTCAAAGCCTTCCCCACGACCCTTGGCAGAAGCGGTTCTTCTCTAACAACACTTGGCTGGCCTGAGGCTGCACCATCGTCCATCCTGATCCATGCCGTTCATGCGCATGGCTCCCTGCTTCTGTGACCGCTGTCCCCCAGGACTGCCTGGGAGGGGCTGAGTCTGATTCAACACTGTATCAGCTCCTGCTGATTAATCTTTCTCTGAACAAACCCTGCAGCATCTCCTCTCCATGCTCTGGTGCCCAGCCCAGGGCCAGGCCCTCAGGGTTAGTGAATGTCCGTTGTTGAATAAGAACAAGTGGGGGCAGGCCACAGAAGTGGTGGCTCTGGCTGGATCCCCCAAATCATGATGGGAGCAGGGGATTCGGGATGTGAAGGGGATGACCCAGGATTCTCTCCCCTGTCCCCTCCCCCACCAGGGATCCCCTCCCCTTCTCCCCCATGGGTGGGTGGGGCAGTAGTGGAGGGCAGTGGAAGGTCAAGGGGCAGATGGACTGTGCGCTGAGCTGCGAAAGGACAGCCTGCCCCTGGGGAAGGACAATCACACCTCTTGGAGCTGTCTGGGAATCTGGGAATCATCAGCTTCAGCAGAATTCCAAGGACTGGGAAGGTGAATATGGGTTTGCAAGTGGGAGCTGCCCACCCTGGCATGGCCCAGTCTCAGGTTAGTGCCAGGGCTGGACTGACAGGAGACCTGGCTTCTAGTCCCCACTCTGCCATCGATTTGCTGGGTGACCTTGGGCAAATCCCTGCTCCTCCCTGAGCACCAGCATGTACAAGGAGAGGACTGAGTCAGTGTGGAGCTGACGGACATGAATGCCAGAGGCTGGGGCAGACAAAACCACCTCACCCCACCACAGCCATATCTCTGAGTTGGGTGGGGCCACTGCCCAGCCTCACCCACCTGTCCCTGTCCTAGGCTGAAGGGGGCACAGTGGGGTTCCCAGGCACCCTCTCTGCTGTGAGCTGCCCTATCCTCTCTGCAGGCACCTCCCCCCCACCATCCCCTCTACCCACAGAGCAGCCAGGCTGCCAGCTGGGAGCAACAGCAGCTGTGACCAAGCGCCCTGCGTCAGGGTGAGTCAGAGCTCTCCCTCCAAGCCAGATCCAGTCACTCTGCGCCAGGCAGAAGGGAAGGGACACTTCAGCCTTGCCATCCCCGGGCTACACAGGACAGGACCCTGGAGCCTGGCCACAGGCAGACCTGTCTTTCTCACACAAGAGCAGGCACACACCTGGCACTGTGCAAGGAACTGGAGCATCCCTGGTGATCAGGACAGATCTGGAGGGTGGGGCTGGTCTCATGGGGGCAGAACATGGGGTCTCTGAGCACTTGTGATGAACACAGCACTGACTTTAGGACTGGCATGTCTGTCTTGTTCACACTGGCACATAGTAGGTGCTTCATACACATCCACTGAATGGAGCTTCTCCGGGCTTCCCATAGGTGCAGGAAAGCTATGTTCACCATTACTATTATTTATTTTTAACCCTAAGTTAAGTACCTACTATGTGCCAGGTATTTGCATATATTATCTCATGAATCCTGACAGCGATTCTGCAAGATGAGATTTTTACTCTCAATTAACAGATGAAAAACTGAGGCTCAGGAGGTGAAGCAACTTGTCCACGGTCACACCATTTTGTGTGAGCTGAGCCCCAATTCACAGCAGGTCTGCTGACACCAGCAGCTAGGGCCACTCTCCACCAGACTTTGTTCGAGAGAGGGCACCAGGCCTGGAGGAAGAGAAAAAGGGCAGCACCCACCCCACCCCTACCCCAGCCTCTGGAAGTCCCACCAGGCCGGACCCTGCCCTGCTAGAGGCCTCCAGCTCCACCCTATGCTCCTGCCTATTCATCCTCCCAAACCCTGCTGGGCCATCCCCAGGTTTTTGAAGGGAACCAGTGAACCTGAGTTCCTCACCTATAAAAGGTTTACAGGTATATGTAAGGATGGAGAGACAAAATATGTGCAAGTGACTCAGACATAGAAGGGCTATGTGCTTGGGGAGGTTTGCTAAGGAGCTGTGGGCGTGGTGATTGTATGTAAATAGGAGTGTGTGTGGCTGTTAGTGAGTGTGTGCTGGTGTGTACAAGTGTGTGGCTGTGTGTTAGCATGTGCCAGTGTGTACGTGTGTGAGAGTGAGTTTGCAGGTGGGCCCATGATTAGAGTGGCCCACTGTTGCTCCATTAGACAGGATTTCCTGGCTGAGACCCTGGGCCTCAGTTCTCATTGCCCTATATTAGCATGAGAGGCAGTCTTGCCCCACTTAGGGCCTGCAGAGGCCATGCAACGTGATGCTTGACCCTGTCCAGCAGTGAGCCACTAGTATGCTATTCCCATCACTGACCCTCCACCCTACGCCAGTGTCCCCAGAATGAGGAGCTGACAGTCAAAAGTCTCAGTCCCTCACAGCTAAGTGACCTCCGCAAGGCACCTGACTTCTGGGGCCTCATTTTCTTCCCCTGCAAAACAGGTGTAAGGGAAGTATTGTTATCGTGTTCAGCCAGGCGTCTGGTTATTAAATTAATGTTGTGTACTTTGTGCCCCAAATGCCAGAATCTCTCCGCCCCCACCACCCCCTTCCCTGACCTTCAGGCCCTGTCACCAGGTGGCGCGACAGGAGGGCCAGAGGTTCGGCTCCTCGCGCCCTGCGTGGCCAGCCACTCTTCCCGCACCCCGCCAGCCTCCTCCGACCCCCGCACCCGCCAGCCCGGGCTGCGGCAACAGGTGAGCCGGGCGGGGGCAGGGGCGGGGCCCCTCCGCGCGGCTGGGCGCTCCGGGCCCTGGGCGGGCGGTCCCCGGGGCCCCCGCCGGTGGTGCTGCCCGCGGCCCGCAGAGCGCGCGCGGCGCGGGAGGCGGCGGCGGGCACGACCCGGCGGAGCCGCAGCCGCGGCGAGCGGAGCCCCGGCCCCCTCCGCGCCGCCCGGCCACCCGCCCTCCAGCTGCGCCGGCGCCGCGCGCGAGCCCAGGCCCGCGGAGACATGAGCGCCCGGCTGCCCGACGCACCCGAGGCGCAGCGCTGCGGCCCCGCGGCCCCACGATGGGCTCCTGCGTGTCGCGAGGTAAGGAGACCACGCGCCGGGCTGGAGGGGGGGCCGCGCCCCGGGTCCCCGCGCAGGACGCGCACACGTCCGCTCAGCCGCTCCGAGGAACCTGGGTGGGGGAGACCCGCCCTTCCCGGAGCAGCCGCACCCCACCCGCACCGAGCCCCACGCGACACGGTGCCTCGGGGAGGACAGGGAGCGTTGGCGGAGTGGAGGGGACGGCACAGCGGAGAGTGTGGGGAGGTCACCGCATCCCCGCCCTCGTGGAACCACACCCGGCAGGTGGCATGAAGCAGGGTCCTTCCTTCCCAGCAGCCACACACCCCCTGCCAGGTGTTCTGGAGGGCAGGGAGGCTGTGGTTCACCTGGCGTCTCCGGAGGGGCTGTGGGGGCCCCAGGAGAGCAAGCAGACTCCCCCTCCCACATGACCCAAGTCACGGGCCTTACCAGCTCAGTGGCCCCACCCTGTCCCCTTACCGCATGCCCATGTTCGGAGTCCCTGAACCCCACCGGCAGCCAAGGGTTAACAGAGAGGAACAGATTACAAAGAAGGTACCCCTTCCCCCACCTTTATCCCTAACTCCTCATCCCCACCCCCATCCTTGGTTAGGGGACAGGAAGGGACAGCTGATGTTCCCAATAACCCCCGGCCTTTCTGTCTGTCTCAGCGCTTTAAAAGCCGCCCTAACCGGGCACCCTTCCCTCTCCCCCCTGTACCCAAGCCCCGCTTCTATCCAGGTGGTGGAACCCCCGGAGCTGGAGCGAGCTGCCCTGGGGGTATGGCAGGAGTCTGCCCAGAGCAGGGGGCTTGGGCAGGTCGGTCTTTGAACCCTGCCCGCCACCAGCTTTCCAACAGGCTGCCGAGCAACATTCTCAAAGAGGTTCACGGCGCCATTCTCCCACCTGCTCTCTTCACCCCACAGTGTAGAGGCCACCCTCGGGGTGCAGAGGTGACTGACGCCTTGGCCCCAGCTCTGCAGGCTCCAGTCAAGCCCACTGACCCCAACCACGAGGCCTTGGGGGCTGCCACCCTCCCCATCACCCCCAGTAGCTTACTCAGGCGCAGAAGGAGGAACCGGCCTTAGGGAGGAGCTGGGCAGGCCCAGGAGGGCGCCTTGTCCTGGGGGATGTTGAGGAAGAAGCACATCCTCTGCTGACCCTGCATCCTCTGCTGACCAGTCCATGCGGGACATTCAGGGAAGTGCCTCAGGAGGGCGCGAGGGCTGGGGTCATGGGTGGGGGTAGGCCGTGTGAGGGTCAGTCATCCAGCGGATGTTAGCATGACGCCTCCTGTGTGCCAGGCACCGCATACATGCTGGGCACCCAGCACAGCATCTGCTCTCGTGAGGCCTGAGTCTGCAGAGGGGAAAGTGGTTTTGAGAGTGAGGAGTGTTTCAGGTTCCTTAGGATTGACAGGCGCTCAGAGTGTCTCCAGAAACCCCTAGACTCTGGACAGGCTTCGGACGCTGGTGCTCTGGGATCTGCTGTTTCTTTGGTGACTGTGTCCCTTCACCATCGCTTGGCCATCCTGTGCCAAGCACTGGGGGCCCAGCCTCAGGTGGCCTTGCCTGTGAGCTTCAGAGCAGCCGGACACAGTACAGAAGCCGGAAGGAAAAGAAGGGCTGGCCAAGGGCAGGCTGTGAGGTGGCATCGGGGCTGGGCTGGGGCTGGGGCCCATGTCTTCGGAGCCCCTACCTGGTGCTGGCAGCCTCTGCCGCACCTGTTGGAGGTCACACCACTCGAGACAAGCTTCCTCCATCCTTCCTGCTGTGGCATGGGCTCCGAGTGCCACCTCCAGATCTCACTGTGGATTCTAACTTTGTCCCCCTCCTGAGCGGGTCAGGTAGGACCACTGACAGTCTCAACACGCACACAGACAAGTTGGAGAAAGGTGAAGAAGGTATGGGGCCGCTTGAGCAGAGGACAACCATCATCCCAGGAACTCTGGGTGACTGAACACCTACTCCTCCAGTCACTGATATTCTGAGAGTGCTTACCACTTACCAGGTACTGGCTGGGACATTACAGGCACAACCAGCTAATTTGAGGTATATACCAGGGTCCCGGTTTTACAGAGGGGGAAACTGAGCAGACAGGAGTTGAGTGACTTGCCCAGGGCAAGTCTTCAGAGGCAGGACTTCAGCACAGTTGCGCTGGCTCCAGACCTGGGCCCTTAGCCTCTGCGCACACGGCAGCCGGCCCTCAGCCCCCAGGCTGGTAGCTGTCCCACTCCTTTACAGCTGCGGGCTTCCATGAGCCTCTGAGCCCCACGCCTCATCTCCACACCTGCACCAATTGCTGATAATGGCCCCCTTGCGCCGGGTGCTGCTCTGGGCCAGGTACGCAGCCTGAAGCCAGGCCGGAGATTACAAGCCTCATGCTGATGCCCATAAGGACCCCAGAGCCTGCACCCAGCTGGAGCCGCCCCAGCTAAACCCCAAATCCCAGGTACAGGTCACACCTGGCAGAGTCACCCCATCCCAGCATGGGGCAGCTGTCAGCTTTCTGTGCCGGGCCTGAGAGGTTGAGAGGTTAGGTGTGCACACTCTAGCGGCGGGCAGCCTGGGCTCGCATCCCTGCTCCACCATTCACGAGCTCCGAGACCTCAGCCAGCTACTTAACCTTGTACATGTATCTCAGTGTTCTCAGCTCTAATATGGGCATCGTCGCGGTATTGGTGTCCTAGGGCTGCTGGGAGAGGGTGAAATGACTTAATTCACATAAAGCACTCAGACCGGTACCTGGCATGTGGTGAGCACTTAAGTGTTAGCTCCTACTGTCATTTTTAATTTTAATTTTTGCTTTTCCGTGCAGACAGCTAATTGAGACCCTCTTGTCTGGGAAAGGGGAAGCTACAGAGGCTTCCAATCCCATTGTGCCTCATGGGAAAAGAAGTGAATGGCATGCATTCTTGGGGTGCTAAGGACATGGGGACAGTGACTGGGACCAGATTGAAGCAACAAATGTTTCCAGAAGCTATTTTGTGTTCTTTATCTATTTGTTTGTTGGCATTATACTACCAAAACAAACAGCATTTTACGACCATTTGTTGGGTGCTTATCCTGAGCCAGGCTGAGCCTTTACTCTCTTGACCTAGTCAGTCCTCATTCAACCTTGGAAGAGGGGACATGGGGCTCAGAGACAGGAAGAGTCTCACCTGAGGTCACATAGCCAGAACACGGAGAGGCAGGATTTGAATCTACGTCTGTGTGATCCCAGAACCTGAGCACGGGACCCCTGCGCTTTGCTTTCTCATGCCCGTCACATGGAGAGAGGTACTGAGCACATGACCAGTGATTTAGAAAAGCCATCCTCTCGAGTAGCTCCTGTGCACTTCACCACTGGGGACGGTCTTTATGGAGCAGTGGGGACTTAATATCAGCCCTCACTTCTCCCCAGCCCCAGGGTCTCTCGGTGCTCACCCTGGCACTGGCCCCTCTCCCAGTCCTCTCCTACCCCGGCCTTCTCCTCAAAACAGCTGTCAGCCTCCTGGCCCCACCGTGGGGGTCTCAGTGCATTGGTGGGAGCAGAAACTGGAGACTGAGGACTTTCTTCTGGGAGGTCAGCCATCTGTGCATGCCTGGGAGAAGGGACAAGCTATGAGGGGCCAACCAGAGCCACACAAAATACCCAGGGCCCACTGACTGTGACCCCTGCCCAGCTCCCCAGTCTTGTCTTGCCTTGATCCTAGAGGAGTCAGTGAACAGTGGGGGAGACTGAGGCAGGAGTAGATGGTTGTCCTTTATGAACTCAGTCTGAAGAGGGAGGCATAATGTTGTCCTTAGAATAGTCTAATGGAGAAGGCAGAATACACACACACACACACACACACACACACAGACACACACACACTCCCACTTGGAAAAATGGCCTGAAGAGCCTCTCAAGAGATCAGCATTGGTTAATGGTTGGAGCATAAACTTTAGAGTTGCAGACTGGCCTGAATTTGAGCCCTGTCTCTGTCACTTATTAGCTGGGGACTTCTCAGATGTGACTTAACCTCTCTAAGCCTCAGTTTCCCCATCTGCAAAATGGACATAATTGTACCTACTTTGCAGGGTTGTTGTGAGGGTTAAGTGGGAGGAAATGGAAGATAAGGCCTGGGACAGTACCTGACACATAGTAGGTGTTCAATAACAGTGGCAGCAGAGTTCTCATAGCAGGTGTTCAGTAAACAGTGGCAGCAAATCACTGCAGACCAGACTGTCCATTAAGGCTGCTGATAAGGGAGTAGCCTAACAAAGCTAAGGTCACTCTAGTCAGGCTGCCTGGAGGAGGTGAGGCTAGAGCAGATGTTCAATGAGGTTGGGCCACAGGATGGCAGAGGAAGTAGAAAGGAGCTGGGGCATATTGAAGATCCTGGAGAAGAGCCCATGTCTCCTCCGTCCTTCGTTTGGAATGGAAAGTGACCCCTCTGGGCAGCTCTGAGCTGCACCATCTCACTGATGAAGGTACTTTTGTGGCCCTGGTGGCCTGGAAACAGATATCCTTTGTCCACTTGAGGCCAGGCCTCTGCTGTGGCAGTAACTCACCAGGCAGAGAACCGAGGGCTCAACCTCAGTGGCCTCCCTCTGCTCCAACCCTGGGGACAGGACTAGGGGAGTGGTGACAGGGGTCTGTCCTGCCATCCAGAAAGAGGACCTGGGGGCTGGAAGGGGAGAGGAACCGAGCAGCCGCTGTTTTGTCGTGCTCGCTGGGGCAGGTGCCTCGTCCTCACGGCAACCCTTTCCAGACCAAGGCTGGGGTTCTCATTTCACAGATGAGAACCCCATGCCTCACAGGGGCTGTGTCACTTGCACGTAGCCCCGGAGCTGGTGGTGAAAAGCTGGGACTTAAACCCTTTCACAAAGACTGTGAAAGGAATACCTCGCCCACTGAGGCAAGGACAGAGCCTGGCACATCACAGCTGGGCAGCACTCACCCAGGGGTGGCTGGCTGGAGGGACTGGGTTATGCTCAGCCCCAGGGGTCCTGAGAAGCTTCGGGGGGGGAGCCCGTGGCTGACTTGGGAGGGACATCGTGAGGGGCTTTGGATCCAGGCTGCCTCTCAGGCATTGTGTGTTTTCAAGAGATTTACCCTCTCTGGGCTGCTGGGAAACAACAGGGTTAACCGTGGGTTCTCCCTGTCCTCCTGGGGTGTGGGGCCCTGGGAGCCACTGAGGGGAGGTTAATTAAGGGGCTGGGACATGGAGCACCAAAGAAGAGCTAAAAGCGCTAGATGACTCGGAAGCAGGTGAGAGCAATCTAAGGAATTATGCTTCAGGCTTACCCAAGGAGCAAGCAGAGAAAACGAGTGTGGGAGCTTTACAGCAAGAGGGGTTTAGGTTAGACATCAGAAGGAACTGTCATGGTGGTTGGAGTCTAAAGCAGATTGAGGAGCTGGCATGGGAAGGCAGGAAGCATCCTCGGTAAGCAGAAGAGAAACTGGCTGGAGGGGGGGTGGAACAGACATCCGATGACACCCTTCTCCTCCCAGGATCACAATGGCCCCCTCCAGATTGCTATGGCAACCAGAGCCCTGTTGCTTCTGTGGCCAGGGAGGGTACAGGAGGGGGCAGTCTGACTTGAAGTGAAGGGAGTAGAGTGTGAACTGGGAAAGGAAGGAAGTGGCCCCACTATTCCCTTGGGAGAAATAGGTGCCCAGGGGAGCGGTGGCTAGGGGTCACCTCAGGCTGGCCCCCAGCCACCTCCCCACATGAACTGCTGTGTTTTTCCAGTTGCTGGTGGTGACATGGCCGCCGGTCCCAGCTGGGAGAAGAGCAGCCTGTGATTTCACCCTGGGCTGGTTCATTACCTGACATCTCCATGGCAACCAGTCTGTGACATCACAGGTCCAAAGTCCTTAGGGGGAGAATGCAGCTTTGGCAGAGATGCACCAGTACGGAGGTGGAGGGTAGGAAAGCTGGGGAGGGGACTGGGAGCCAGGAGGCCTCTGAGTCCACCATCTCCACGACCTCATTCACTCCATGGCTCCTCCAGGCCTTTGACATCTACCAGCTTCCCCTGTGTTCAGCAACCCTTACTTCCTGGTCTGTGGCTGCAGTTTTAAAACAGCTTCAGGGATGGCCAGGGGTCCTAGAAATATCCAGCACCTCTCAAAGTCCCCAGGACAGCCTACAGCCAGCGTCACCCTGCCTGTACCTTGATGGCCTCCGACTTACACATACTGAAACTTAAGGATGGCAAATTTCAAACTTTTTTGACTGGAACGCAGAGGAATAAGTATGTTTTGCATCATGACCCAGTCCACACGCATGGAAATTTTTACCAAAAGTGCGTGCACACATATGTGCCTATGAAACAATCCATAACCTGATTCTGAAATGTTCTGTTCTCTTCAAATCTATTTTTTAAAATTTGACCTAGTAAATTGCTTGCTTGACCCACTAAAGGGTGTGCCCCTGGTATGAACACTGCCTTTGAAGGGTCTAGAACATACGGAAACTCTGAAGCCCAGAGAGGGGCAGGACTAGCTCAGAATCACACAGCTGGGACTTAGGGGCAGGAGCAGGGTATGTTGAGCGCTGTAGCACGCGTGCTCCGGGCTCAGCCCATACAATCCCGTATTTCCCGAGCTACTCTTAGCTCCTGGCTCACGGAGCTCCTGAGCTCAGGGGCTGAGGGCGCTCATTCTGGGTTGCTCTTCCTTTTCACCAACCTCAGCTTTGCCCCGCCCCCTCAGATCTCCCTTAGCTGCCCGCCCCAGACAGCCTTTGGGCAGGCTTGTCCCGGAACTCTCTAGTCTACCAGATGCTAAGCCCAGTCTAGTTTGGATAAAAACTGGCTTGCACCACAGGGCATAAATCTGCAAAGAAGTAAAAAGCTAACCTTTTCAAAGAATATTGCTTCTCTCTCACATACCAACTTTACATTTCCCTGTATGGCCCCGGAAGACGGCTGGATAGCCAGAAACAGGTAAGATTCCTCAAGGGAGGAACAACCTAAGACAGGCACAGTCGCAGGGGGGCCAGCAGGTGAGAAATTGGGGATCAACAGAGGTGAGGCTTAGGAACCCCCCCCCGTTTTGAGAGAAATCTTCTGCATCCGTGGATGTTTTGTTGCCCTTGTCTAGTTCGGATTAATACTTAGTCTACAGGCACACACCTGATCATCTACATTTGCCCTCTTACAGCACTAAACTATGCTTTCTACCTTTATCTTGCATCTACCTACCACTTCAGCATTTTATTAAAAAAATAAATAAATAAGGGAGAAATGTGGGATTCACATATAAATCAAGTATAAAAATCATAGGAATAATCATATCTGACTTGATTGTTTATAGTTCATGATGTGTGATCAAAACCGAAAGTTTCTGTGATATGACTGCCCTTGCACTGTTCACCATGTAAGAACTTATTCACTATGTAAGACCTTGTTCACCATGTAAGAACTTGTTTGTTGTGCTTCAGAAGATTGGAGACTGTTGAGAATTAGGCTTGGGGTTGATTAGTAATTGTGCATTGAGTCCCTTATACAGAATTTTATTGTTGTTAACAACCATTTGATCAATAAATGTGAGAGAAGCCTTCAAAAAAAAAAAAAAAACTGGCTTGCATCCTATTCAACACTCCCCTTCCCCTGAGGACCACTGTCTGCTCTTTACTCTGCTGGCGTCCCCCCCCTCTCTGGATCCCCTTCTTGTCTGACATAGTGGGGGCTGGCATGAGGGACTTGGGAATTGGTGGCGAAGTCATTTTTATTATTCTGGAGCTCTCGTGGTCTGTCTTGGCTAACACTGGCTCCCAGTTGAGGCCTGTGTGTGGCAGTCATCCGAACATTCATTCCTCTACTCTTACAACAAATACTTCATGAGTGTCTAGTACATGCCAAGCCCTGGCGGCAGGTGCTGGGGCTGTCATGGTGAATGAAACAGGTGAGGTGCCAGCCCCCCTAGAGCCCCTTTCCTGAGGGATGACAGGCAGGGAAGCAGATGCGTTGGAAGGTTGCAGACACCCTGAAGAGAAGGAAGCGGATAGAAGGGGCCCGCTTCCAGGCTACAGCAATTGAGTGAGGCCTGAATGGAGGGAGGGAGTGAACCTCTGGCTGTCCAGGAGCAGAGCATTCCCAGCGGAGGAATGGCGTGGCCAGTGCACAGGCCCTAAGGCAGGAGCGTGCCCTTGTGCTAAGGAAAAGCCCGGACAGTGATCAGCGTGGCTGCAGTGAGAGACCAGCACAGCAGAGTGTGGGGAGGGGAGTGGAGCAGGCCAGGGTCCCCCGGGTGAGCATGGGTGAGACTAGCCATTGGGGGGAAACTCCACGCTGCAGGGCTCTGCTGTGGGATATGCGACTCGGTTTGACCTCTCCTGTTCCCCGCCCAACTCCCTTTTCCTCTGAAGTGGTCCCCCCTTCAGCCTCTTGGGGCTGAGGTCCTGTTGTCCTGCAAGTGGCGCTCTTGGGGGGTACCAGCAAGACTCAGACCTGGCCCCTCCCTCAGTGTCTGCTTGACCCCTGAAAAACTTACAATCCTCGCTTCGCCAGCAGTGGGAGGCAGGCTGACACAGGCCCCGCTGCCGCCAGCCCTCCCCAGTATGCATACACCCAACGGTGGGTGGCTGGCTGGGAGAGATGCTGGCCTCTCCTTCTTTGCAGACCTGCAAGGGGGGCTCTGGGAAGCCTCTCATTTTGCTTCTTGGGGGAAATAGGTAGTCGGAGTCAGAAGGGTGGTTGATGGCTGGGTAGCAGAACCTGTTCAGCCACCTTGAAGAAGGCATCTGCTCCCCCGACCCCCAACAGCAGCTTTTTTCCAAATGGGGCTTCAGGGCCTCCTTGTTCTCCATTTTAGATCCTAGTAGACGATTCCTGAAGAACAAGAACAGTTGCCCTCAATCGCTCATTTTACAGGTGAGGAACTGGAGGCTCAGAGAGGCAAAGACACTTCCTGAAGGTCCCACAGCTAGTAAAGGGCAGAGCTGGGAGCTGAACCAGGCAACCTGGTCCCAGAGCTTCCTGGCTGTCTGGGAGCAATTTCTCAGGAGCAGACCCTCAAATGAGGATTTTGGGTACAACTGGTGTATGAAGGCAATCTTCAGAGGAAACCAGTAAAGGAATGGAGAGGACAGGACAGAGGGGCCAGAGCCCCCCTTCCAGACACCACAGTGCTGTGCATGCTGGGCACCACCTGGACCACCTTCCTTCCATTCCCTTCACACTGCAGGCCCTGAATCCCACCAGATCTCATCAGAACTCCTTTTGTGCTTTGGAAAAGAATGAGCTTCGGTGTCAGAACAGCAGGGCTCAAATGCTGACTGTGGCCACTGGCTGGGTGCCTCAGGCTACCCATCTGTGCCTCAGTTTCCTCATGTATAAAGTGAGCCACGGACACAGAGTAAGGATTCAGTGCCATCAGACCAGGAAGGGGGTGTAGACAGAAGACCTCTCTGCGGTGCTACTGTTTGCTGGGCCTTGTGTTTGCATGAGGGTTCTGGGGACAGTTTCCTCCAACAGGCTGGGAGGTCCCTGAAAGCAGGGACAGAGCCTTAACCCCACCTCTGTCCCCAGGTGCTCGCATAGTGTAGATGTGCGGTAGATGGATGCCCAGCGGGTGAAGGAATGAATGGATTCATTAATGCATGGATGCACGAATGAATGAATGAACATCATCCTCTGGGTCTTTACTTGCTAGTGGGCTTCTTTTGATACTTCTTTTGATACTCAGGCCTCGGCTCTGTGAGGTTAATAGTCTGTGTTCTCCACTCGAATGTCAGCTCCATGGGGGCAGAAACCATCTCTGTCTTGTCTGCCTCCATGTCCCCAGTACCCAGAACAGGGCTCAGTTCACAGTAGGGGCTCAGCTAATACTTTTGAATGCATCAGAGCGTGTTCCTGTCTCAGGGCTGGCTTGAAGAAGCTTCATAAGCTGGAAAGCACTGGGCTTTTCTAAGTTCCTCCTGTCATTCTTATTTCCAGATCTGTTCACAAGCGCCCACAAGGACTGCCCCATGCCCCAGGGCACGGACCCCCTGAACCCAGACTTGCCCTCCGGCCACCCACCCACTGTTGCTCCAGCCCATGTCACTGGCAAGGTACCTGGTCATGCTTCATTCCTGCCTTCACCCTGCCTATGCCCTGGGCCCTGGGCTGCCCCCTAAAGCTCCCCACACGGAGTGGGAATCATTCCAATCTCCTCCACTCTCTGCCAAATGTGGCTACTTCCTGAGGGATCAGGGCCCCTAAGGTTTGATATTCAGCTGAATGGAGGTCTGAATTGGGTTTGGCATCCAGAACTGGACCAGGCTTGTTTAGAAAAGAGAGTCCCATTCGGAAATTCTTCCTGCCCACATTAACTCAGCCTTGCGGATAACAACTTCCCTTACCAGCCCACGACTGCTTAGCTGCCTGCACTGCCGTCTGGAGAGTAAAGGAATGGAATTCTTAGTTCAGATACACCAGGAAAATCTTGCTAGGGGCCTCCAATCTTGGTGCATAACTTCCACCCCTACTCCAGAGGTTGTGGCTTGAATCTAGCAGTTGATAAAGGAGCCCCAAAAGGCTGACCCACACGACCACTGGGGCTCTGGGACTCATGCCATCTGCAGGCGTGGAGTGCCTGGCCCTGCCTGAGCCTCTCTCTCCTCTTGTTTAGGACAAACAGATGGATTTCTGTTGGGATCCTTGGCAGGTCAGTGCACTTGCCCATCTCCCAGCCTAGCCAGCCACAGCTGACACCATGCTCCTCCCTCTGCTGTACCCAGTCTGGGCACCCTGTCCTACCAGCCCTGAAGTGGGGGGCTGATGAGAACAGTGGGGTGGGGATAGTCCTATGGGAGCTGGCAGGATGTTCCTGGCCCTGCCCGCCGCCCAGAGAACCTGGGGAGGGTGAGTACTGGCGGGTGGAAGTGGTGGGAGGATGTCATCTGGCGGGTCTGCCTGCCCTGCTCACCCCTCCTCTCTTTCCTACAGAGGTGCTTCCAGACCACCCACGGCTACCTGTCCGACTCCAGATCCTGCTCCAGCAACTACAGCGTGGCCGCCCTGGCCACATCGTCCCTTGTGGGTAGGCTCAGCTGCCCTTTCCTGCCCTTGGAGTATGCACGCCCCCCAGACGCCAGCTATGGGAGGGGCAACACTGACTTGCAGCCCTGCAGAAGGGCTTGCAGCCCTGTGGGGTTCAGCATTTCCCAAATGCCAGGCTCTAGGCTGGGTTCCCCAGGGAGCAGTGACTTAGGGTTCTTGCCTCTGGGGGTTGAATTGTTGGGGTCTCCAGAAGCTCTGAGGGGATGTCTGCCTGGCATGGTCTCCCCACCTGTCTGTGGTAAATGAAATCCACCTGTCATGCCATCTCAGACCAGGTTCCCTAGAAGCAGAGCCTGAGATGGGAACTGTTGGAGTAATTTATTAAGGGATTATTCTCGGGGGCAACCTATAGGAGGGCAGGACAGGGCAGGAAGGAGCTGAGCAAAGACGTGGCTGCAGAAGTCTCGCCTTTCTCAGCCTGACCCACCGGGAGTGCAGGAGCATGATTGGCACCACGGAATTTCTGGGGAGGCATCTCCCCATCCCCCTCCCAGCATCGCTGGTTGAGGCAGCTCCCTCCAGCTAGGGACGCAGGTGTGAGCCAGGAGCAGCACCTGCCTCCACTGAGGGTGGGCACACAGGCCAGTAAAGGGGTCCCCACAGGCCACCACAGCATCTGCCCGTCACCCACCATGCGGCCTGTGGGCCAGGCTCAGCCAGCCAGCCCCGCACACAGCTTTGCTCCCTATATCCTGTTAAACCCTCACAGCCCCGCCAGTGCCCTCTGCTGCCTCGCTGGCTGCATTTGCTGTGCTGTTCCTCCACCTAAAAGCCTGTCCCCCCACTTCACCCCCCCTTGAGGGGCCAGGTGAACCACCCCCTCTAAAAACGTTTCCTGGCTGCCAACACTCCCCAGCCTGGGGGACTTCTCTCCATCGTAATCACCCCTATCTTTCCCATTTTGCCAGAGTTTTATGTCTCTCATCTCATGCCCAGTCTGGCCCCTGATGGGCACCCACACAGGTCTCACCCTCAGCAGAGCTGGCACAGGGATGCTGTCCCAGGACTTGTTGATAATGGGTGAAGGGGTGAAACTTGGTGGGTCTGGAGTGGATCCTTGAGTGGATCTCTTTGGGCAGAAGGGTCTGAACCTGAATGGATCTCTTTGGGCAGGAGGGTCTGAACCTGGTCAGAAAGGGGAGGAAGGGTGTGGGAGGTCTTGGGAAGAAGCACCAAGTGGGCAGGAACACTGATGGGCACAGGACACTGTGAGGACAGGGGGCCTCCCATGTGAGTGGGCAGCTAAGTGAGGTGGGGCCTTAGGGCTTGCGGAGGGCATGGAGTGGGGAGAGGGCACGAGGCATTGGCTGGGCATGAGGGATTGGACAGGGGCAGGGCATTGTGTGTCTGTGGCTGTGAGGTCACAGGCATTGGGTGAATGGAGAGCACTGGATTGAAGTGGGGTACAGGCCGCTGGATGGGCCTGAGGTATCGGGGGTCTGGGGCAATGAGGGTGGGGCCCTGAGCTGGGTTGCCCAAGTGCCCTCAATGTCCCCAGGGGTGGCGCAGAGCATCAAGGACCACATCACGAAGCCCACAGCCATGGCACGTGGCCGCGTGGCCCACCTCATCGAGTGGAAGGGCTGGAGTGCCCAGCGGTCAGGCTGGGATCCGTCCCCAGCTGAGGACGGGCAACACTGCTGCCTCCCTGATGAGCTGCGCGAGGCCCGCTTTGCCGCAGGTCCGGGGGTGTGGGCGGGGCGGGTGGGAATGGGAACTGGCTGGGGTTCTGGTCCTTAGGGAACCAGGGGTCACCACATGGGCATGGTCTGGGTGGGGAAAAACAGCACGGGGTGAACGGGGCATTAGGTGGGCACTCTGATCCCGGGCCTGGATGGGCAGGTCCTCTCTAAGTTGGGGCTCGCTGTCCACCACAGGGGTTGCCGAGCAGTTTGCCATCACAGAGGCCACGCTGAGCGCCTGGTCCTCACTGGACAATGAGGAGCTGCACCCCAAGAACAGCCCTCAGGACGTCATCCAGCTGCAGGGTACCCCCTGGGGGGCATACCAGGGTGGGGAGGGTGGGGCAGTGCTGGGGCTGGATGCCCACCCTGCCTCCAAATACACTGTGACTTTGGACAAGCCCCCTTCCCTCAGCCTTAGTTTCTTCGTCTGTGAAATGGGGCTGGGGATCCTTGGCCAAGGAGTGTCATGACCATAAAGGAGAGAATCATAATCATAATCATAATCATAAGCATAATCATAATCATAATAGATAACATGGAGTAAACACTGTGTTAAGTGTTTTACATATGTTATCTCACTGAATCCTCATGTGAATATTAGGTTCAGGATTAGTAGGTCCTGTTATTATCTTTATTTTACAAATAAGGGAAACTGAGGCACAAGATACTTGCCCCACATTACACAGCCAGAGGTATCAGAGCCAGGACCAGACCCTAACACCAAGCACAGCCAACCGCCTTTCCAGAGTCCTGGGTTACTAAGGGCTCCTGCGCACCTGGGTCATGTGTGAAACCTGTATACCCATTACCTCCCTGAATCCTGCCTCTGACAGCAGCAGGAGGGAAGGGATGGAGGGAGGCCTGGGGAGAGCACTGGTTGTCCCAATTCTCAGAGCAGAGAGCCTGCTCTTAAATACTCTGCCACTGCCACCACTGCCCAACAGGAGAAACTGGGGCTCAGAGAGGTTCAGTGACTTGCCCAAGGTCACACAGCTCAGCAGTGACAAAGCAGGATTTGCAGGCAGGTCTTCTGCCTCTTGCCCTTCCTCACATGCTAGGAGATGGGGGAAGCAGGGTCCCAGACTCCATTCCTAACTCCCAGCCTGTTGGTTTTCCAGACCTGGAGACCATCTACCTTCAGGACAGTCTTCTGAGCGGCCCCTCGCAGGATGACAGTCTTCTGGCCTTCTCCTCCCCTGGCCTCTCCCCCAATGGCTGGCCCTCACCCGATGAGCCCCCCGTCGCAGCTGCCGACCCCCAGCCCCCCAGCCCTGAACAGCACCATTGGTGGCGGCGGCCACCAGGGGACCCCGGGCCCAAGGGTGGGGCCCGCCTGCAGGGCTCCCTCCCCTTGGTGGACGGTAGCTCCCTCTTGGAAGAGGAGGATGAGGTGTTCTATAACTAAGGTGGGGCTGCGTGGCCCAGAGCCTGCTCACACCGTGACCTTGCCTGGGGGGCAGCACAGACATAGGGTGGTGGGGTCTGGGCTGGGCATCCTTTGACCCCTCGAGGCAGGCACAGGGTGGGCGTGGCAGGAATGGAGGCAAGCCTTCCTTATGGACCACTCTGTGCCTCCGTGGACCTGCCCCTGGCAATGGGAGCCGTAATCCCCTTTCTCCCTTCTTTACCTGGCCCAGGTGAGTGCCTCCCCCCGCAGGGTTTCTGCCATCTGCAAGCTTCAGGACTGTCAGCAGACACCAGGGCAAGCTGCCCAGAGGAGCCAGCAGCCAGGCGTCCAGGCAGACAGCTGCAGGAGGGCCTGGGGACACCAGGGCTCAGTCCCTGCCCCTCCCTCTGTGCTTCTGCCCCTCCATCAGAGGTGGGGTAGCCTCTTCTGGTGGCTGAGGCCCACTCCTCCTCTCTCTTCACAAGGATTTCTGTGGTTCTGGAGTGTCTGTCTGTCCCTCACTCATGGAAGCTGCTCCCTGGTTCCCCTGCTCCCGGCCCCTGCACCCTCCTCCCATCTCCTGAAGGTTCTCTGAAGACATTAAAGTGGTGGGTTCACCCTGGATGAATGTGGCCTGGTCTCTGCTGGGGAAGGTGTGCTCTTGGGCCTGGGGGAGGCTCTAGATGGACTTAGAGAAGAGATTGTCCCCCCCACCACACATATAGCAGGTCAGCATGCAGCCACCCAGCCAGGAGAGTCCCCGTGGAGGATGCCCAAGGCTCTTCGGGCTTCCCGAGGAGCCATACCCGGGAACCAAGCTTTATCAGCCCTGGCTCAGCCGAGGAGGAGGCTGAGGCTGGGGTTGGGGTAAAGGTACCTGGGCCACAGGGCCCTACTTATCCATGAGGGCATACAAGACCTGTGTCTCCCTGCCAGGAAGTGGGGAATGAGGAGAAGGGGAGACCAGGGATCCAGGCCTGCAACGCCCATGTGACCGTATAACTCAAGACCTCACTCAGGGCTCCACAGGTACAGAGCTAGGGTACCAAGTCAACACCCTTGAACCTGAGATGTGAGATGGATTGCAGCTCTGGCAAACAGCTTTATTTTTCTCAAGAGCCTCTGGTTGGGAGCTATACAACTCCCAGAGGCATCTGTGCCTGCCCTTGGTGACAGCATACGCCAATCTCTTGTGAATTCAGTGAACCTTCATTGAGCACCACTGTTACCTCCTGTCGCACACTGAGCTCTGTCCAGGGTGGGGTCCTTCCCCCAAGGCATGTAGCACCCAGGGTGGGACAGGGTGAGGATGGGACACTCTTCGGTGCTGGGTCAGAGCTGCCTGCTTTGCCGGCCGAGGAGTGCGTGGGGCTGGACGGGAGGGGTATATTGTGATGGGGGGAGAGAGGCAGGGTCTCTGCCAGTCTTCTTTACCACGGCAGCTGAGGTGGCCTGTTGCATCTTGCCAGGCTGGCTCACTTTGGAGCTGGTGGGTTTGTAAGGTTGGAAATTGCTTTCTTCAGCTAGAACAGAGAAAGGGGTTTTTTTGGAGGGAGGATGAGAGGAGATTGAGAGCCGGGGCTTCACTTTGATTGCTGTTAAGTGTTGATTCTGGGGTGAATGTTAGAGTCGGTGCCTCCCCATGGCACAGATGGGATCACTGACCCAGGGAATGGCAGGGCTGGCCACTGGCCGGCGCACAAACAGAAGCAGCTGGGCCCAGTGACTGGCCATCTGGGCCGGGAAGTGGGGCTCATCAGAATCCAATGAGAACCCTCCAAATTTGGATGGGAGGATATTGGTGCCCCCACCCCACCCCTAGGCTGCTCGAGCCTGCTCCTCTACTTTGCCCCACCCTCAGGACCCTGGTACCTCCACCCAAGACATAGAGCCCACAGCTCTGCCCTGAGATGTCACGAAGAGGGACTGGAGTTTCAACAGCTCGAAGACGTTGTGTGCCTGGAGGATGGGTTGTTAGGAAACGCTGGGGGACAGGTGGCTCCCACCCCGCCTCTCCGGCTTCAATTTCAACCCATTCTGGGGACTTTGAGCAGAGGCAGAGGCCCCGGCCAGGGCTCTGTCCCAGTGGTGCCCACGCCCTTGTCTCTGAGCCTGGGGGAATGGGGCCCGGCATGAGGGTGGTGTGCGACCAACACTGGGCCTGCGATGCCTGATATGACCACCAGGGGTCCCCAGAGTCCACACAAGGAACAAGAGGAAAGGACCAGTTATCCAGCACCTGCCACTGTCTCATCCAGCGACACAGGGCTTAGGGACCACCCCCAGGTCCCCACCTGCTTCTGCCTCTCTTCAACCCTATGTGCCAAGCACTGTGCTTTCAGGAGGCAAGGGATCAACATTCAGAGTGATTAAGTAATTTCCCAAGATCACATAGGGAGGATATGGTAGACCCGAAACTGAAACCTGTATGTGCCTCAGTGCAAAGCCATACTTTTAACCACTGTCCCTCTCCATGCAGAGGCTTCCAAACTCTCCCAAGCGCTCCCCCTTCCCTAGTCTCTGCATCATCCTAACAACCCTGGGGATGAGGAAACGCTCTCTGTCATTCTGCAGATGAGGGAGGAACAGAAAGCCACAAAGCATGTCGGAGAAGCTGGAGCCTGCGTTCTCCTCCCGGGCGCTTCTCCTCCACCCCACTGTTCTTGTCTGACCACATGCCTAAATCCTTCCCGTTACCTGGTGCAGGGATGTCTCTGGGGACAGCTGCAGGGTCACTGGCTCCATGGGGCAGCCCCCAGACAAGATGTCCCGGAGACACCGCTGGGGATGGGGGAAGGGTTATGGGGGTCTGGGCCAGCCTCCCCCTTCCCCAGGCTGCCCCTCTCAAACCACCTCTCCCACACAGGATCAGCTGATCCCGTCCTCATAACCTTGCTGACCCTGTCCCCCTCCCAACACCCCCATACGACTACTCACCTGGTGTCCTGGAGCCCAAGAAGATGGCTCAGCCTGGAGCGCCTGCACCAGGTGTGCTCTTTGCACAGTGCCCACGAATATCTGCGATTCTGAAGTGCAGATGGAGAAGGAGAGAGCCACATTACAAAGAAGGAACTTATTTTTATTGGACACTTACTGCCTGCCAAGAGCCATGCTGGGTGCTCTCGTTGCTCAGGAACCTCCAGTGGCCTATAAATCAGGAGCTGTTATCAGCTTTTTTACTGAAGAGGAAACTGAGGCCCAGAAGCACAGAGAAGTCAGTTGTCTTGCCCCAGCTTCTGACTTGGAGTGTGGTGATTGAGGATAGCTGGGTAAGGCTGCCAGAAGGTGGGGAGGTAACCTGCCAGCCCTGAGATTCCCCAAGTGGAAGGGCCTCCAGGCAGGAGCAGATTTGGGACACCTGCCTGAAGACGTCTGTGTGTCAGGGCTGGGATCTTTTTTCCTCGTTTCTGATAGGAAGTGTCACACCTGGCTCAGCCCAGTGAACATGTGAACCCAGAAGAACTACCATGTTCTGAGGTCCTACTGTGTGCTGGGGGCTTGGCAAGCCTCATTCTGGGCAGCACTGGAGTTTGCAGGTATTCAACTTTGAGGGGACAGCCTGTTATATTTGCTTTTTATCCAGTAAAATAAAACACTTTATAACTAGATCTAAAATGCTCCCCATTCCAAAAAAAGCAATTAAAACTATTACTGGGGTGAGCAGTAGGGTCCCTCTGCCGGTGCTTGCACTGGTTAGGAGCTGTGCTTCCTGCAGCTCTAAGGGCAGCAGTGGACTTTTCTCAGAGGTCAACGTGTCCCAGCAGGTGAGACCCTCTACGAGGGGTCATCCATATGCAAATATTTTCAAATGGGGTATTTGGCATGTTCTATGGGATAATGTCAAAGGTGTCCCAGTCTGGGTGGGGAGTAGGGCCTGGTATTCGGGAGAACCTCTGACAACTCCATACTGCTCTGGTCCCTAGTTGCCAGTTGAGGAAACTGCAGTTCATAGGGCTGAAGAGGTTTACCATGGTTCTGCTGCTCATAAATGATCATGCCTCTTCTGGTGGGTACAGGGGTGGCCCATACCGCTGTGCACATTGCCCAAAGGGCAAGCAGGGACCAAAATCCAGCTGCTATGCTTGCAAAGTGTACACCTCGGCTCATCTGCACGAAGGCGACGTACAGGTTGACAGGGGCGCTGAGAGGACATGGCTATCCCCCCACCAACCTTATCTTTCCCGCTCATAGTGTACTTTCTTTCCCCAGTGGGAAATGACGCTCCAGCTAGATCCTTCCTCAGGAGTCACTCCCCTATGTGTCTTTTAACAGGGGCCTCCTTTTTTTTTTTCTTTAAAAAGATGTTTTTCTCACGGCAACAGGGATTAGGGAGCTGACCCAGCTGGGGGATGCTTGGAGGCAAGACTGAGGGAAGGAGCCTCTGGGAGACCCTGGCAGTGTGCCCATAATCCCACCCTCATTCTCCATGCGCTCCAGGCCTAGTTTCTAGAAGTCCAAGAGCTACTCAAGGAGTGTCTGACAAGCCTCCTGTTGACTGTCATTTAAACATGTCAACCACCCCAAGGAAGGATGGTTATTATCTCCATTTTACTGATAAGGAAACAGGCTCAGAGATGCGAAGTGACTTGCCCAAGCTCACACAGTTGCAGAGCCTAGATTCAGATTTGGGTGTCTGACAGGTCCAATGCCCTGCTTACCCTTTCCTGGGCCCCACTCTCCAAAGTCCAAGAGGAAATGCCCCACCCCATTCATGCTCCCCCGCCCTTCCTGCTGGGCACCTGTGCTCTCCACCAGGGGGTACTCGGCCATGTCTGTGGAGGTCACGACCTTGACCACCTCCTCCAGCGGTGTGTCCTTGGCCAGCGTGGTGATGGTACAATTCATGAAGTGCTCCACAATCACCCGGTGAGAGCTGGAGGCACCAGGGTGCTCCCCTTAGGTCCTGGAGGGGAGGCTATCCAGGTCCCAGGACGAGGCGGGGGTACTCCGGGGGAGCTTTGCTGGTTCTCAAGGGTGGGCAGGGACTGAGAGATTCCTGGAATGAGCAACTCTTAGAACCCCAAGGTGGAGAGGAACCTATGTACAGCCTGGCTCTGGATTTCCAGCCCCCTGGACTCCTATCTCCCCCCAGACTTCAGTCTGTTTTATTCAAAAGCCTTCCCTGGAGAATTTCATTTGAAGAAAAGTTTTATGGTAAAAAGAAAAAAACAGCTTTAAGTCTGAAAATTGCTGGAGTAACCACCCCCATTTTACAGATGGATAAACTGAGGTCTGGAGCAAGGCAGCCATCGGCATGTTTGGAGCTGCAGCTTAGATCCAGGACTCTCAGAGCCTCTTGGTCCTGCTTATCTGGAAACGGGCTGCTCTGGTCCCATCTGGTCAAGCTCTAGTTCTGCCCCTAGTTCCTAGTGTCCCAGCGAGGAGAGCAGAGCAGGGGTGGGGACAAAAGGGTAGCTGTGTGTCAGCCCCTCCCGCACCGCCATGTCCAAGGTGAGCTGCAGTGGGCTTTTCTGGGGAGCCTCCATCCCCAGCCCACCTGGACCCCATCACCCCTGTCAACCAGCCTGAGGCGGGCACTGCTCACCTGATGCTCCGGCCCCGGATCCATGGAAGGTACGGCAGCTTCTTGACAATGATGGTGCCATCATAAAAGGAGGGCTGGCAGCTCTGAGCGATGGCATTGGCCGCCAGCACGGCCATGAGCACAGGCAGTGCGTGTACAATCTGGCCAGTCAGCTCAAAGGCCAGCAGCGCCGTGGAGATGGTGTGGGTAACAGCCCCGGAGAAGGCCGCTGCCCCTGCAGGGGACAGAGCTGGGGCAGGGTGGCTCAGGCCGGGAGGCAGCCTCATGCAAAGGGCACAGCCTGCCGTTGTAGCTATGGCCGTGCACTAGGATGGGACCTGTCTGGACACCACATGCTGGCCCCTGTTGGAAATGCCCGCATGCCTGGGCTTTGGGAGGGGGAGAGCAGTAAAGGAGAGGAGGGGGCCTCGTGGACAAGATGGGCTTGGGGGTGAGGCTCAGGGAGCGGTGGGCGCTCCTTGGAATGCTCCGTGACCTCCCCATGCCCTGCAGAACCACTGGCTTATTCTCCAGGCCCAGCCCCACCCCACGATGTCTGCCCACCCGGGGAGGACCCAGTCCCCTCACCTGCTAGGGCGTAGCCCCCGGGCATGATGGGGCTGGTGGTGCCTCCAGACACAATGCCCTCAGGGAAGGCAACAGAGACAGCCTCCCCTATGAGGCGCCCCGTGGCAGCTCCTGGCCGCAGAGTCAGAGTGAGGAGGAGCAGCCAGGCCGCCTTGGCCCCCACAGCCCCCATCTCTCTACCCTCAGTACCATCCTGGAGGGCAGGGGGCAGGCCAGGAGCCATGGCCCCACGCCAGTAACCCAAACCCCTCAGACTCTCGGGACTCCAGACTCACCAAAGATGAATATGGGCATGAAGTACCCAGCTGGCATGGGGATTGTGGTGGCCAGAATCAGCATCCAGAACTGTGGGTGGTGGGACCCCAGAGGGGCAGAGGTTAGAGACAGCTGGACAGGAGTGGGCAAGGGAGGGACTGGACAGTGGGCAGGGGAGTCTCCAGGGAGAAAGAGGACACCCAGGCACACACCCATCGCCAGGGTCTGGCATTAGGGAACACTGACAGGGAAGGAACCACACCCTGGCAAAGTGCCTACTGTGTGCCTAGCACCATGCCAGGGCCTTCCCTTCCTTCCCTCTCAACCTCTCCTTTGAGGAAGGCACAATAACGAAACGACGCCACTTCAATGACAAGCAAACTGAGCCTCAGGGAGCTGAAATGGCCTGCCCAGCACCACACAGTGGGCAGGAGTCAGGTCAGCGAGTTGGAGGGAAGCCCAGGCACTGTGCTGCATGCAGTGGAGAGGCACAGCCCCATCCCACCTGAGGCTGACTGCAGCTCTCTGCACACCCTGGGGCATCCCAGGCACCCACCTTCATAACCAGGAAGAAGGCAAGGGTCCCAAAGGCGGTGAGCCGTGGGTGGCACCATTCCAACCACAGGTTCTGGGGGTCGGGCTCCGTGGGCCAGGGTGGGGATGAGTTCCGAGTCATCAGCGCCCACGAGTTATTGTCAAACAGTGAGTCCAGGTGCTCCTTCATGGACAGCTGGGCAGGGGTAGGTCAGCACTCCGCGCGGGAGTCAGTCTGTCGCCACCCCTCACCTCCCGACCCGGCTTCAAGCCCTCCTGTGCCACTTCCTGGCGGGGCAGGGGCCTTGGGAGAGCCCCTCCGGGGGCTACAGTGTCCTCATCTGTAAGATGGCTCACGGGCTTCCCCCCGTGGGCTTCCCCCCGTGGGCAGGCCCACACCGGGCGGGTAGGTGATGGAGGCGAGAACCAAGGCGGCCATCATCTGTAAGATGGCTCACGGGCTTCCCCTTACAGGTGTTGCGAGCATTAGGTGAGATGATGGGCAGAAAGCAGGTAAGCTTGGGCTTCCCCCTCCTGCCACCCCAGCCCAGCGCCCCTTACCCGAGAGGCCATGAAGCGGCCCACACCGGGCGGGTAGGTGATGGAGGCGAGAACCAGGGCGGCCAGCGCGGAATACAGAGGCTTGCTGTGGGGGTGAGGGTGGGGTGAGCTCCCGTGCGGCCCCCTCCCCCTCATGGAGGGGACAGGGCGGGGGCAGGCTCCACCCCCCTGGGCACTGGCACTGAGGCAGAAACAAGAGGAAGAGGGCCGGGAGCTGAGCTGTGCCAGACCCCATGGGGGGGAAGAAGCCTGTGGTTCCCCCCAACACACTTGGGTAGTAAGGGGGCAGGGCCAACAGGAGAATCCGGCAGAGGCAGAATGGGGGCAAGGACAGAGCCGCCTGGCCCGGGTGGGGCCCAGTGCATGGCCGCCGCAGGCAGAGGAAGGCTGACTCAGAAGTGCCCATGCCAGGAGGCAGACAAGGTTTGGGGAGGAACAGGGCTCTCAGGGAGGCGCCTGGGGCAGGGGGCCTGGGGGGGCGCAGCTAGTGAAGGAGATAGGACTCAGGAGGTGGGGATTAACTAGAGGGGCTGGTAGCCCAGTAAGTGGGGGAGCAGTGACTGTGGGGGCCTGGGAGGGGTGTATGAGGGGATGGGGGCTTTACACACCTAAGGAGGGTGTGGGCTAGGGAGGCTTGGGGGGACCAACGGGAGGGTGGCAGTGCAGCCAGCGGGTGGGGCTCTCTGTTAAGGGCAGAGAGCTCTCAGGAAGCTGACAGTTTTGGGGAGACAGGAGCGCCCAGAGCCTACCTGGTGGCCAGCAGTTTGGAGATGACCAGATTGGTCTTGACAAAGCTGAGGAACGTTCGCTGGCAGAAGAGGTAAGCACAGCTCAGGATGCCACAGATGGCCCTGCGGGGAGGGGAAGTGAGGCCAGACCCCTTCCCCAGGAACAAGGGCAGCAGTTCAGGCCTGGGGGCGGCCCCCAGTTGGGCTCTCAAGGGGCCCAAGGCACCCACTCACCCCAGCACCACAAAAAAGAAGATCTCTGGCAGGTCGAAGGGGACGTCAACCCGAAAAGTGGTCTTGTAGAGGGAGGTGATGGTCTCTGCGGAAGAAAGGCAGTGGGGATCGGGGACCCCAGACAAACCAAGGGGCAGAGTTAACAGGCAGCGGTGGTGCCGGGTCCTGCCCCAGAACACCCTGTCCTGGCGTTCAAGGCCCTACAAACCGGCCCTGCCTCCCTGGCCTGCTTTGTCCCCTTCTACCCTCAGGGCCCTTCCTTCATGCCCAGGGCAGGTCAGCCCCCTTCCATCCTCCTTCAAGGAGGTGGGGAAAGGAAAGGAAAGAAAGGGGCGGGGGAGAAAAGACAGGAGGAAGGAGGGGAGGCCGGCAGGGGGCCAGGCCGTCCGGGGGGGGCTCACCTTGCTCGCTGTTGAAGACAGCCAGGAGGCGGAACATGAAGGCCCCACAGGCGGCAGCGAAGAAGCCCCTCCAGTAGTCCCGCACAGAGAAGTGGGAGGACATGACCTCGACGCTGAACAGGACGCCTGGCGGTGACCCTGGGCTTAGACTCCACCGCCGCAGCGCCTGGGCCCCGCGCCCCGACCCTCCGGCCCTGCTCTCTGACCACCTGCAGATGGGGCCACCCCTTCCCTTGGATCCTGGGGAGAGGGAGGGAGGGCAGGGCAGGAGGCCCGCGGCCCAGGGCACACGCCCGTCCATGCCCTGCTCAGCCAGCTCGGTCCTTACAACAGCCATTCGAGGGGGACGATCGTGACCCCCATTTTACAGACAAGGAGATGAGGCTCAGAGAGCTGCACTCGCTGGCCCAGGGTCACATGGAGGAGCTGCATTTCAGGCCCAAGTCTGTCTAACGTTACCCTCAAGGGTCTTGAGGCGCCCATGCCTGGGGGCCGCAGCCTCACGGACACAGTAAGAACCAAGGCCAGTCAGCCCCCATCCCCACTCCGGGTCCGCCACCACGGGGCGGAGGAGGGAGCCCAGGCTGGCCCTGTCAGAGGACAGAAGGGGTGCAGGGGAGGGGCGTGAGGGAGGGTCTCACCGCTAAAGGGGGCGGCAAAGACTGTGGCCACGCCCACCGCCGCCGCAGCCACCAGCATCTCGTTTTGCTTGCTCTTGTTCTGGGAGGATCAGAGTCCAGGCTGAGAGGCAGCCCCCACCGCCCCCTTCCTCGTTCACCCAAAGGGGGCCCTCCCTGAACCCCTTACCTCGGACTCCCCAATGGCCTTGGTGCGCACGCGGCCCAGGTAGGCAGCGATCATCACAGACAGGTGCACAAAGGGGCCCTGTGTGGGGTGGAGTGGGCACAGGGCACGCGGCTCACACCCTGGGGGAAGCTGGAACCCTTCTCATCATTGGGGCCCAGGGCTGGGGGGCACAGGGAGCCTCCTCCAGACACAGCATGGCCCCCACCTACACCCTCCTCCTCAGTATCCGGAGCTCCTGTGTCACACTCTGGGGACCTGGCTTGCCTCCTCCCCATGACGGAGCCCCCAAAGGCAGGCATTGGCTTGAGGCCCCACCAACCCAGCTTCAGTGGGGCGATGGGGAAAAGGCAGAGGAAGCAGGAGGGTGGCGGGATGGGGTGCTCTCACGCTTTGGGGTGACCGTACCACTTTGCCCAGGAAAATGGTACTGCCGGTGGCCAGGGTGCACGTGAGGCCCACCACTTTGGCCCCAAAGTTCTTGATATCCAAGTAGTCCTCCAACACCACACCTGACAAGATGGTCTTCAGCTCCGGGATTCCAGAACCTTGGCAGGAGATGGCCAGGGGACAAGGGGTGGGACAATCTGTAGATCAAACTCTTAACACCTTAGCCTGCCCAGCGTTCCATGTCCGGATCTGGTCAGGCCCTCCTAAACCTGTGAGTTAGGATCGGTAAATTCATTTAGCAGATGCAGGGGCCGAGAGTCAGAGCGCGGACCTAAGCTGTCCGTGTTCTTGCAGTTGGGCCTTCCAGCTCTGGCTAGGATCTCAGGCCACCCCTCCAGGGAGGCAGGGCTGAGCAGCCGACGGGAGCTGTGAGCCCTTCCACTAGCCTCTCCTTGGAAAACCTGCCACCAGTATTCCCAGTCACCACCCAGGGAGCCCTCAGAAAAGGAGCAGAGCCAACAGTGACCTGCTAGCCTTCTCGCTGTGTGACTTCCATCAAGTGACATGACTCCTCTGAGCTTTGCTCTCTGGCTGGGCAGTAGGGTGATGGCTTCATGCCTCCCCCCATCAGAAGCCCCGAGGGAAATGAGAAGGCTTCAACCAGTGGGCGCTGCGGTGGGAGGCGCACAGCAAATGGCCTGGAGGCTGGGCTCACCTCCAGAGAAAGGCGTGATGCTCTGAGAGAAGCCGGAGGAGAAGGAGGCGAGCGCCATGGGATACACTGTCCAGGAGAGGTACCGGAGCAGGTGGCTGTCCCCAATCTCCCGGTACAGCCATTTGTGCGCTGGGGGTGGCCAGGAGGCAGGGAGACATCGCAGTCTCTGCAGCCCTCAGGTGCCCACCTCTTGACCAGGACGTGGAGGCTCATGGAGGGGAGGCCCAGGTCCGTCCACCCAGTGAGCAGCGGTTCCACAAGAGGAGCTGCTCCCTAGCTGAGTGACCTCAGTCAAGGGACTCAACCTCCCCAAGCCTGTTTCCCCATCTGCCAAAGGGGCTGGTGGTGGCACCTCCCTCACAGGGCCATCATGAGAATGTCTGGTGCTTAGCAGGTACTCATGAGGGCATCTGAGCCAGTCTCCCAGAAAAGGTGTGTTAGACTCCTCCTGCCCCAGGGTCACACAGCAAGTTAAAAGCAAAGCCAGGACCAGACCCAGGCCGCCTCCTCACCCAGAGCCCTCCCCTGCCCCGCTGCACCTGGCGGCCCAGCTGGCATCCAGAGAGCGTGCTCGGAGGCCCTGTGTCCAGAGCAGGTGTGTGTGCCAGTTACCTTGGACCACACGCCCGACAGCGAAGCTCATGGTGTAGCTGATCAGGGCCATGAGCACCCCAAGGGCCGCCAGGAAGTACCAGTCCTCACCCACGTGGAACAGCTTCTGCTTCAGCCATTCCAGGCCACCTGGGGCAGGGGCACAGGGTCACAGCACAGGGCTGCATGAGGACATGGACAGCCTCTGTCCTGGAGGCCTGCTCAGGCTTAGAGCAGCGAGGGCAGGGGCAGGGTGGGTCTGGGATCACAGCAGGACTGGTGGCAAGCGGAGGTGGCAGCAGAGTGGGTGCCAGGCCTATGGGCCTTGCCAGGGGCCTCTGCCCTCTTCCCTCCCACCCCTGCCCCTCGCTGGGGGTCTTACGGGAGAATGACCAAGGGGCCAGGGGCTGGGAGGCAGTGCTGGAAACAACAGCTTCTCCAGCATCTCCGCAGGGTCCATAAGCTTAGGGAAGAGGAGCGTCTAACAAGACTCCTGTGCCGCCCTGGGGCCTGGGGGCTGTCCCACAGGCCCGCTGGTGTAGGCCAGGGAACCCCCACTGGGCCCCCAGCAAGGCCCTCGACAAAGTGATCGGGTCTTGGGGCTGCATTCCCCAAACACAGAGGGCACCTAGCACCTCCCACCCTCAGACGGATGGACAGGTAGAGAGACCCCTTCCTCCCTGCCGGACACATAACAGCAGGAGGGCAGCTCTTGGGCTTCGAGGTGCGCAGGTGAGGTGGGGCCTGGGTAGGGGAAGTCCCCAGGGGTCTTGCCCAGGGAGAGGAAGGGGGCGCAGTTCTCACCGTGGATGCCTCTGCGGATGCGGGGACACGGGCCCCACAGCTCCTGAAGAGTCACGGGGTTTCCTGGGGAGCCCTCGCGCAGCCCTACCAGCTCCTCCATTAGGGCCCTGATGGCACGGAGAGCCAGACAGCCCCTTGGTGAGCTGCTGCAGTGCCCACACCCCGCACTTGGCCCTTCCAGCCCTGCCACCTCCCAGATAAGAAGGAAAGGGTGTCTTCCTGCGCATGTGTGTACAAAGTTGTTGGGAGGGGCCACGGGCCTGGTGTGCCTTCGTCACTGAAAGGATGTCACCCAGGGTACATGTGTGTGGGTCAGGGGTCCTGGCTGTGCTGTGTCCCACAGCAGATTGGTCAAGGCAGGACCCCCTAAGGCTCAGTGTGCCCTGCTTCCCTCCCCCACCCCGGGGACGCCGCTCCCACCCTCCCTGGGTGCTTGGCTGCTTCTTGTGCTCAGAGCAGCCTCCTTGTCCAGCACAGTCTCTCTCACTGCAGAGTCCACACACACTGCTCTAAGTCCCACGTCCATTCCTGAACCCCCTCCCCTCTGCTCAGGCACAGAGGCAAGAAAACCCCAGAATCAAGTGCTGGCTCCTGCCTGCAAGCCGCCTGCCCGGGCAGTTTCTGTCCAAGTTCAGGCCCAGCTCTGCACCCAGTGGCTACTCACCTCTGTCTGTCTGCCCCGCAGTGGCCCCAGCCAGCCCTCCTCTAACAGAGGCTCCTTTGGCTGCAGCTCAGGTACACCTGGACAGGTGTGTGCTCCACCAATCAACATACTGGCCTCTCTCCCCCCACCCCCACCCCCCACCCTGCTGGGGTTTACTGTGGCCATTAGGAATGTCCTTGAGAAACCAACTGAAACTGCCCAGGCCAGCTGATCCTTGCAGGCCAGAGCAGCCAGGAGGGACCATGAACAAGGGCTCCCTAATCCACCACAGCCACGCGGAGTGCGCCGCGCAGCCACACGGCAGGCTCTGTGTGCAGGCTAGGGGGCTCCCACACACAGCTGGACAGCACAGGTCCTCGTTGGGGACCCTTAGCCTGACCCTCAGGCCAGGGCCCTGGGTGCTCAGATGTGGAGCGGGGCTGGAAACGCAGAGATGGGAGAGGGGAGAGAGCCAGCAGGGCAGGAGGAAGGAGTCGGGCAAAGGCAAGGGGCGCTACCGGCCCTGCAGACTTGCTATGTGCCAGGCGTGGTACTCAGCCCTCCCCCAAATCAGCAACTGCCCACGGAAACCCAGTGAGGTGGGCAGTATCATCCTGTTTCAAAGAAGTGGAGTCTCAGAGAGGTGAGGCTGCTTGTCCAAGGTCACAGAGGTCAAGGGGCAGATCTGAGATTTCCAAAGCCTTCACAACCTTGCACTGTCCTGTCCTGGCTGACAAGCTGAAGCAGGAGCAGTGAATTATGGCAGCCGGGGGCCTCCAATGCCTGGAAGTAACTTGGACTTGAGCTTCATGTCCAACCCTTCCAGTCTCAGAAAACTGCCTCTCAAATCTCAGCACTTCTGCAGAAATGCCACAGGCTTCATCTGACAGAAGGTAGGAGTGATGGCATTGGGGGGGGCACAGCAAGTGGACAAGCACAGGTTATGTACCAGCAATGTGCCAGGCCCTTTATGTCTGCGACTCAGTTCATCCTCCCAGCATCCTAGTGAGTCAGGGACACCATTACCATTTCATAGATGATAAATGGAGGACCAGAAAGGTCCAGTCACTCATTTAAAGTCACACAGCAGAGGCTGAACCCCGACTAGATTGTTTGGCTTTTCCACTGCCTGGAGCTCCTCCAGCATCTAGGGTTTAATGAGTCAGGGCAAAAGATTTGGGTGCAAAGCAGAGGATTCGAGTCTGATGCCACTTTTGGAAGATTTGGGCAAGTGATCTGGGACAATGCCCTCCCCCACCCCCTAGCCAAAGCTCCTTTCTGGAAATCATGATGGCCTTTCAATGACTTGTTAAAATCCTGGGACCCTGAGCTCCCTCTTCCCTTAAACACCCAGCCAAGTCAGTCCCCAACAGGAGCATATGCTGTGTGCTGTGGGAGGTGGGGGAGTGAGGAGTGGGCGGGTGTGGAGGTCGCTGCTCCGTACAGACCTGGAGTCGGTGTTGCCTTGGCCACCCACAACCTGCTGACTGTGTACAGTAGCAGGATGACTGGCCGCCCTGTTGACATCCCAAACCCTGGTCTCTGGCTTCAGGCAACTGCCGACTACAATCCTACAGCTGGCATTGGCCAGCCAGCCAGCACCCTATGTCCACACCCTCACCCCCTGGTCCTGGGAGCACCAGGAAACTGGAAAGAGGGCAACAGAGGGATGCAGTATCCATAGCCAGTCCCTCCCAAAGCCATTTCCCCCACATGCCAGGCCCCAACTTCTCCATCACCCCCATCAAGCTCTGGCAGCAGTGGAGAGTAGGAGCAGGCTTGATACCAGAGCAGCTCAACCACCAGAGTCCCGCAGAGCCTAGAACAGTGCCTAGCACATAGTAGGTGCTCAATAAAAAAATACCTGCTGAGTGATGAGTGGTCTCTGAACACTGGCCTGTGGGCTGGCTGTGTGGGGAACCAATGAGAACAGATTTCTGGTCCCTCCCCAAGATCCCAAATCACAATCTTGGGGTGCAGGGGGAAGAGGCTGTCTTTGTTAAAGTTTCCCTGGGTGATGGGATATCCCGGCAGGTTTGGGATTCAAGGCATTGATTATTTCTGAAGCTCCTTCTATCCTTGTGATCTGAAGGGAGAGGTATGCACAGAGACAGGGGGATGGCCTCGATGACCTTTTGAAGTCCTTCCTGGCCAATGAAGCCAGTGGATCCAGTACATGTGTGGGTGACACCTCAGGGATGGGGAGGAGGGGGGAGGAGGAAGGGTGGGCAGGGGTGGGTAACGAGATCTGACATCCAGGAGCAGTGACTCAGGCCCTCAGCACCATGACAGCGTGTCTGCATTTAGCCACTGGCTCCTGTTTCCCTGGCGGGCCGCAGGCTTCTGGGCCCCCCACCCCCGCCCCCACCCTCTTTCCATCTCGTTTCATGCTGGTAACTTCCTGGCAGCCTATTGGAACCCCTCGGACAAGGCCAGAGGGGGTGACATGAGCCAGGCTGCAATCTCCACTGGAATGATAGACCCTACTCACTCCAGCCATCGCCCCGGCCCCCAGCTGTGCCCCATGCCCTACACTGCCCCTACTGCCATGGAACACCAGAACCAGTAATTACCCCTGTAGGTGGAGCCCCCCGCCCGAGGCTGATGTTCTGTGGAGGCCAGAGACAAGAAAAACAGTGCACACCTCAGGAGTCTAAAGGGGAGAGAGGCAAACCCCTGCCTCAGTGGAGCTGCTGGTCTGATAGGGGAGTGAGGCCACAGCAGAGGTCACAGACACAGGAAGACCAAGGCACACCACTGTGTGGGGGAGGTCCAGGCCGGGACCCTCGGTGTGGCTGCAGCAGTCAGAGAGGCTTCCTCTGGGGAGGGGAAAACTGAGCTGCCCTAGGAAGGGCGGGATTCACAGAGAACAGAAGCCCGCACAGCAACTGGGCGGCAGCGGAGGGCCCACACGCCTCTCAGAATGCTCCTGACATCAGCCCGGCTCTGCTGAGCCGTGGGAGGGCAGAGGAGGGCTTCTCAGGGTCTTCTGGGCTAGCCTATCTCCATCCTCGTATGTTCTTCCTCCCGGCCTCCCGGAGCACTTTGTGGCAGACACACCTGGTTTGAATCCTAGCTGGGCCACTTCCTTGTGTGCGAGCCCCGCCTTGTGGGCTCCATTGCCCTGTCTATAAAATGGGACTAACACCTCCTTCCCAAGCTGTGTGGGGATCAAATGCGGCCATGCCACAGAGCTCACATCAGGAGCCCCGCATCTCCTCTGAGCTGGAGGTCAAGCAGACAGTTCCTGGGAACATAACCTTCTGGATCTTTAAGGACAATTACCAAATGATCCGCCCTCCTCCCCTGAGGCCGGGCCCAACTCCTCTCCAGCCCCTAAATGTTCTGAGAGTGGGGGGAGGGCAAACATGGAAACTGGGTCCCTGTGGGAGCTGGCAGGGGGACAGCTGCACATTCTACACACACACCCCCACCCCGCCTGGGGCTGTCTCAGTCCTTTCTAAGAGATAGCTGTAAACATTATCTTCCCGGGGGGAAGAAGCCCTCACCTCTCACAGGGGTCCACCTGGTGGAGGGCCTCCAGCCACGCCTGACTTCCTGAACTTGCATGTCCCACCTTCCCCAGAACCAGGAGCTTGGCACCCTCTGCACTGATCACCCAACTCCCAATCTCTCTTACCAAGGACTGGAACTTCCAGGGAGAGGGGCACAAAATACAGGAAACCCTGTCCTCAACGAGCTTGCAGTCTGATGGGGGAAGCACAGCCCTTCGAGAGCCCCAGGCTGATGGGGGAGACAGACAGAGGCACAGAAACACCACACACACAAGATCCTGGGGTGGGCACGGGGGTCTGAGTGGCAAGAGGACAGCATCACCCCCATCCCGCCGCTTCAGAGGCCCCGGGCTGGAGTTATCGGCCTGGAATGCCAGCCTGTGAGCTCAGCCTCTCGGGCCTGCGTGTGCCGGACTGTCAGCAGCACCGTCTCACTGGAGAAGATTTCCAGCCCCCTCTGGGCCACGGAGAGGCCTAAATTTAGCTGGTAGACAAGGGGCTGGCCCTGAGCCCAGGGACAGTCGGGCCTTATAAAGCGCCGGCAGTCAGGGCCCAGCATGCTCCCCCAGAGCCTGCCGCCCCACATCCTCTCCCCTCTCCTGCCCACCCTGCCTGCCTGGCCAGGGCCCGGCCGCCTGCCCGTGGATGAGCCACAGGACCTCCTCCACCTTCAGAGCGGAGAGAAGCTTCCATTCCTCAGCCTCCTCAGCCTCCTCAGCCTCCTCGGCCTCCAGAGCCCTCCCAGCCCAGGACCCACCCATGGACAAGGCCTTGAGCATGTTTTCTGAGGATTTCGGCAGCTTCATGCGGCCCCACTCCGAGCCCCTGAACTTCCCAGGCAAGTTCTTGGGACCATGGGGGTCAGAGAGACACGCCGGTAGGGGACACCTGTTGCAGGGCACCTCCAGATGTGGCTGTGGCTGCTGAGCTCCAGACGCAGGTGCCACACAGCTCAGCCACATATAGCTACCAGGACAGATGTGGCCACAGAACAAGCAGGCCTCCAAGAAGCAGTTGTGTCCCCAGGGGGCCAGCTGTCACACCAATGGCCACACAGGGCCTGTGGCCAGGTCTCACCGGAGCCCTGGAGGGCTGGATGGGGCGGAGGGGTGGGGGGATCCCCTGGCCTCCAGGTCTTGGGTGGGTTGCTGCGTCACATACACACACACACACCCGTTCTGTGTTGGGTCACCATCCCTGCCATGGAAAAGGTGAGCTCCAAGAGGCGAGGAGGGGTGGGCAGGGGGTTAAGAGCTACTGCAGGGGTCGGGGGAGGCCTGGGGGCTGCCCCTCTTCCCAAGAGGAGGAGCCAGGAACCCGGTTCTGGACGCAAGCCTACCCTGTGCTCAGCTCATGGCCACCCTCCCCATAGCCCGTCCTGGGGGGCCAGGCAACATCAAGACCCTTGGAAACACCTATGAGTTTGCAGTGGACGTGAGTGACTTCTCACCTGAAGACATCATTGTCACCACCTCCAACAACCACATCGAGGTGCGGGCTGAGAAGGTGAGCTTGACCCACCTGGCTCGGAAGCTGGGCTCCACACCTGAACCCTCTGCTTGGTGGTCCCACTCCTA